CTGGAGGAACGCGCTCCCCCCGGCCCCGCAGAGCGAGGTGTCAGCTCCGCACCCCCCAGCCCTTCCCCAGGCCTCGCTGGGCCATCCGTGCCCGATTCACACCAGCACAGACCCAGCCCCTTCCGCTCTCACCTGGCCAGGTTTTGCTTGCGTAGCATCTCCTGCTGCCGTGCAAACATCTCCGCCTGTGCCGGCTGGAGGAACCCGTAACCTGGGGAGAACGCTGGGGGTCACCCACCTCGGCAGCGACCCTCGGCCGCCTCAGAACAGCTCCCCAGAGGGAACAAGGGCACCCGAGCGCTGCCTTTCTGCTCCAGAGCCCAGCTACCCCTCACTGCCGCTGCAGTGCAGCCAGAACACAGCGCCAGGGAGGCAGGTGGGGATTAAGAGAAGAGCAGCCAGGGCACCTGCTCCCATGGCTGCAGAGGCAGGGTGAAGCTGGCACAGCAGCCGTGGGGACACACAGAAAACGCGTGTGGGCCTCTGGGCCGCAGGGCAGATTGTCACAGGCTGCACCTCCACCCTGCCCTGCTGCCCACGAGCGGCACCCGAGCCCTCACCTGGCGTCTGGCACAGCGCCGAAGGCACCCCGAGGAAGGGAGGTCTCAAGTGGGGCCCCAGGGCGATGTGGGGAGCGTTCTGGGGCGACAGCAGAGGCGGTGGGTGGGATATCTCCCTGCAGGAATCAGAAAATAAAGGCGTGTTGAAAACCTGGAGGCTCTGAAGGGCCCTGGCTCGGGAAGAACATCTTGGCTGCAGATGAGCTGCATCCTGCCCCAGAGGCTGCTCTCTGCCTCTTCCCCCTCATGCAGAGCTTCTGAAACGGAGAGAAAAAACCAAAAGCAGCAGAACCAAAAGGGGAAGAAAGCAGCCAGGACTCCACAGGTCCCACACGTTTCCCACCTTTGCTTCTGCAGCCTTTCAGCCGGGCTGTCCAAAGGGATCTTCCCTGCCCGTGGCAGGTTAAAGGGGAGGCCTGAAGATGCTGCATCTGCCTCTCCCCTTACCACATTTGGGGTTCTGCCTCAACCACCTCACATCTGAGAAGGAATTCAGGGTTCTGGGGGCTGCAGGGTGGGTTTGGGAAGATCTGGAGGCATCACTGGCTTGCCTTGCAAAAAACGCCTGTCCCAGCTGGATGTGCTTTAATTCTGGAGAGGAAAGCTGGGAGTGAGGCAGAGGAAAATACAGACAGGAGAGGGATGTCAGCAAGAAGGGCAGTGGGATCAGTGGGAAGGAATCTTGCTGGAGAAGGGGTGGATGAAGCCAGGCAGAGGGAAATGGAGGGAGGCAGGATTGGGTGGTGGGAAGGGGACAACGCCTGGAAAAGAGACAGGGAACACTTGCAGCAAGAGGGAAGGCAGAAAGAAAAAAAAAAGCAAAAAAAAAGCAGGAAGGGAATAAGAGCCAAGGTCTCTTCCATTAGTCAGATCTGCCCTGGGAGCCTGCAAGCAAATCTGCTTTCCGGCTGCACGTCTCTTAATTCCTTTTGATGGCCACTTACAACATTATTACCTTCAGCAGGGCATCCAGAGGCACAGCCAAGTGTGGGGCCGTTTATTTTCATTTTGCAGTATCTCCCTGGAAAAATCTGCTCTGGGGGAGGCTGGAGGGCAAGGGAGAGGGAAGCAGAAGGTGCCTGTGACTTTGCAACAAACACAGCACGTGCAGAGGCACCGCAGTGGGGGGATAACAACGGGAGCATCCCGGCCATCCATGGATCAGCTCATGGATGGATCAGCTCATGGGCATGGATTCTCTCATGGGCATGGATCAGCTCAAGGGCATGGATTCTCTCATGGGCATGGATTGTCTCATGGGCATGGATTCTCTCATGGGCATGGATTGTCTCATGGGCATGGATTCTCTCATGGGCATGGATCAGCTCGTGGGCATGGATCAGCCCGTGGAAATGGATCAGCTCGAGGAAATGGATCAGCTCAAGGAAATGGATCAGCTCATGGGCATGGATTGTCTCAAGGGCATGGATCAGCTCGAGGGCATGGATCAGCTCGAGGGCATGGATCAGCTCGAGGGCATGGATCAGCTCAAGGGCATGGATCAGCTCGAGGAAATGGATCAGCTCGAGGGCATGGATTGTCTCATGGGCATGGATCACCTTGTGGAATTGGATCAGCTCATGGAAAGCCAGACAAGGATCCCTGGGCACGAAGTGGGAGAGCAGAGCCATTCCCAGCACAGCTTTATCCCCGTTCTGTGCAGCCACTACAAAACACTGACCTGGCTGCACCTCCCCTCCAGAATTCCTCCTCTCCCCCACGCCGTGCCCGTGTGCCTCCCGTCCCCGTGGCCGTGTCCCGGCTCTCCTTCCCCTCGTCCCCGTGGCCGTGTCCCGGCTCTCGTTCCCCTCCTCCCCTCCTCCCCGGCTCTGCTCTGAGCTGACTGCGGAGCCGGCGGTGTCTGGATCGATGGGGGCTGCAGAAATGTTAATGCCGCCCGTGCGCTGCGCTGCGCTCCGCTGGCAGCTCCAATTCATCTCAGCTAGCGCCGCGCTCGACCTTCGGCTCCGAGCCGGGGCAGCAGCCAAGCGATGCTTATGTAATTACACCGTCAAGTGTGTAATCACCTGCCCTAATCCCCGAGGCCTCGCAATTAGCGGGGCCGCGCTCGCGGGGCTGCCAAGTGCTGCTGCCACCGGCCCGGCCCGCGCATGAATAACGGGCAATTAAAGCGGCGTGGGGGCTCCAGCCGTCCGCTCCATCCTAATTAGCGCTAATCACGGCGAGACGAGCCTGGCACACGTGCTGGGCCTTTGATAAGAAGCGATTTAGGAAATCAAGTCGCTGTTAACCGTGGTGTGGCCGTGGGGATGCGCGGGGAAGGGGATCCTGCAGGAACCCCGGATCCTGGGGGAGATCCCCGATCCTGCGGGAGATCCCCGATCCTCAGGAACCCCGATCCTGCGGGAGATCCCCCGATCCTGCGGGAGATCCCCGATCCTGCGGGAGATCCCCCGATCCTGCGGGAGATCCCCGATCCTGCGGGATCCCCTGATCCTGCGGGATCCCCGATCCTGCGGGAGATCCCCGATCCTGCGGGAGATCCCCGATCCTGCGGGATCCCCGGATCCTGCAGGAGATCCCCAATCCTGCGGGAACCCCGATCCTGCGGGATCCCCAATCCTGCGGGATATCCCCTGATCCTGCGGGATCCCCGGATCCTGCGGGAGATCCCCGATCCTGCGGGATCTCCGATCCTGCGGGAGATCCCCGATCCTGCGGGAGATCCCCGATCCTGCGGGATCTCCGATCCTGCGGGAGATCTCCGATCCTGCGGGATCCCCTGATCCTGCGGGAGATCCCCGATCCTGTGGGATCCCCGATCCTCAGGGATCCCCGATCCTGCGGGAGCCCCGGGCTGCCCGTGGAGAGCTCCAGCCCAAAGGAGCTCCTCGGCTGAGGCCAGTCTGTGCCCGGGCCGCAGAGTGTGGGACGGGGATCGGGGCAGGACCGGCCGCAGAGTGTGGGACGGGGATCGGGGCAGGACCCAGGGAAATGAAAGGTTCTCCCCTCGGTGGCAGCCCAGTGCTCATCCCAGCTTGTTTCTGTGCTTTCATGCTGTGCTACGGGGCATGACTTTGATCCCTGAGGAATTCCCAGCTGCTCCAGCCTCAGTTCGTTCCCTCAGAGCTTCCCTGGGCCTGGATGGGGAACGGGATGGAGCACAGGGACAAAGCCATCGCTCCCGGACACAGCCCCACGGGCACAGCAGCCTGGAAAGCAGCTGGAGGCGGCTGGAAGAGGGGCTGGACAGGACACATCAGCCCCTCACCCTCCAACACACGCTGGGGATGAGCCCCAAGGGTTAGGAAGTGCAGGGACACACCCTGGCACACGCTGTCACCGTGCCTGCCTGGCACAGCAGGACAGAGACCCCTCAGCAGCCTGTGGCTCCCCCAAACACCCCACACGAGGCTGCAGGTGGGGCCAGGGGAGCAGCAGAGCCCAAGGGCCCTCAGCTGGCACTGTCACACCCCTGGGGTCAGAGCAGGGAGGCCAGATGGCCGAAACAGCCCAAAAAAGGCTGCAGATGGCCGAACACAAGGGGGTCGCTGTGCCTCAGCACAGTCCCGGCAGCAGAGACCTTAGCAAGCAGGCAGGTATGCTCGGGAATATTTGGGGGAGGGAGGATTTTCCTCCCTGCAGGGAGCCTGACACTGCCCAGCTCCAGAGCCCCGGGGAGCCCCTCAGCCGCGTGGCCACCAGGGACAGACCCCCTGTGCCACCCCACAGTGCCAACCTGCCTGGCACAGAACCTGCCCTGCTCCCTGGCAGCCCGTCTGGCCCGTCCCTGGCACGGGAGGGAGGCAGCAGAGCCAGGTCGTGCCCTGGCACAGGGCTGGGCAGCCCTCCCACATTTCCCAGCCAGCTGGGAAAAGAACTGGCAACGCCAGAGGGAAAAAACCCCGAGACATCAACAAAGGCTGCAGAGATTTTGGACAGGTGTGCACCAAACGCTGAGCCCTGCCTCCTCTGCCAGGTCTGTCAGCCTCGAATCCCCCATTCAATTCCTTCCTCCTCTTCCTCCACGGCTCAGAGTCAGAATTACAGTGCCCTACTCTGAGGAGGTGAATTTAGCCCCTGGCAATTACATCTGATAAGCCTTGTCCTTACCTCGAAGAGAGCAATTCTGTGCTGCTGCACATTCCTCCCCCTGCCCCCTTTTCCTTTTCCCCCCCTAAAATGCCAGCTGGAGGCTTGTGAGCAGGGTATTAGGGGATTTGCACTGCACGCTGCTAAATTTGATATGTCCTTTAACAGGAGACAAATGGTTCACAAGGCTTAAAAAGTATCGACTTTTCTTTAACAATAAGCACTAATGGCCTTCAAATAATCAATATTTAAAGTCATTATGGGGTTACACATTATACTGTTAAAACCAAGCCTTTCACTTTAACCCCATGATATCCTCCCAAGCCTGGAGCAGAGCTCCCCCCTGGCTCAATCCAAGCTCTCGGGGAAGGCTCGGAGCACAGGCTGTGACTGGAGATGTGAGAGGGTCAGGAAATGCAGATTGAAACCGGCAAGGCATGGAAATAAATTTAGAACGGATGGAAGAAGAGGGGGGGGGAGGAGAAAGAATGCATGAAAGCTCTGCTTTCTTCTGCTCTGCATTTGATAGGAAGAGACACTTTAAACCTGAGGTAACAGGCAGGAGGCACAGAGCTCCTCGCTGCTCTGCCATCCCCAGACACTGCCAGCAAGGGAGAATAAATAAAATCAAAGGCCTTGCTAAAAACGGTGTTTGGGATTTCCAGGCAGGAAAAGAACACGTGCTGGCACTGCCCTCCCAGGGCAGCAGCGAGGGCTGGCCACAGACAGGGGCTGGTTTGTGCTGCCCCCTCAAAATCCAGACTGGTTAAATCAGGTCAAGATCTTCGACCTTTGCTCTGCAGAACATTCAGCCAGATGGGAACCAGGCAAGGATCCTGCCAGGGCAAAAACCAGAACATCAGAGCCTTCAGAGAGGAGAGGGGGACACAGGGCTGGGGTGGGTGAGAGCAGGAGAGAGATGGTGCTCAGAGAGGGCAGGAGGGGTGCCCAGAGAGGGGAGAGGTACCCAAGGAGGGCAGGAGGGGTGCTCAGAGAGGGCAGGAGAAGTGCCCAAGGAGCCAGCAGGAAAAAGGAAAACCTCCCCAAATTAGGGGGGAGGAATGAGGTGGGGGAAGAACAAACGGCAGCAGCAGCAGCAGCAGATGGGAAGAAGGGAATCCAAAAATGCAGGCTGGGTATTTTGGGCACATCTCTGCGCAGAGGAAGCCTCTGGCTGGCACACAGTGTCTGTCAGCTCCTGCAGGGGAGGCAGTGGGTGCCTCTCCCACCCCAGCTCGCTCCTGCCTGGGGCTGGGCTTCCCAGGACCCGGGGATGGGGGTGCTGATGGCACCTCAGGCTGGCAGCATCCCGTGTTCCTTGGCATTCCTGCTGCTTGCCCGGGGCTCCGGGGGATGAGCTGTGCTCCCACGAGCTGCTCAGAGCCACTGAGTGCCTGCACCAACACCTGCCTCAGCACCTGCCCTGGCTCTGCCTCTCCTCTGAGAGGGGCAGGTCCCTCCAGACCCCCCCAGACCCCCCACCTCACGCTGCAGGCACAAAAACCAACTTCCAACAACTCCCAGCACAGCACCAAGGCATCAAACCCAGGCAAGAAGCTTCACCCCACTGACCACACCATCCAGCAGCTCTCCCAGCCCTGCCTCAGCTCCTCTCCAACCCCTTCTGTGTGCAGGGCATGAAAGATCTTCCCTCAAGAGGAAACCTTCCCCAGGCTCCACACAGAGAGAAGCAGGGATGAGCACCTCGGGGAAGAACACGCCAGGCTGAAGGACCCCAGCAGAACATTGCCAACAAATCTCGGAGGCAGCAGGCAAGGAGCAGGATCCAAGCAGCTCTGCAGGGTACAGCCACCTGCCAGCTCTGCAGGAGAGGCAGCAGCCTGGAGATGGGAAGAGCTCCAGGCTGAAGCAGCTACAGCAGCACCTTTCAGCTGCACCCTCTCCTCTTCCAAGTCTTTTTATAACACTGAGCTCAACCATCTTCCCAAACAGACCACCAGGCCCTGGCACTGCAGCACCCAAGCTGGATCCGCCTCCAAAGGATCCAGGAAACCAAAACCATGAAACCAAGTGAATTCTCCAGACTGTGGCTTGAGTCTGCCTTTGGCAAGATGCCTCAGTTTTACCGACTCCTTCCAAGAGATGAAGGGACCACTGTGCCACTGCCAGGACCTTGGCCCAAGAAAATCCAGATCTGTGTGCTTGAGTGTGTCATCCCCACAGAGCCAAACCTCCCAGCCTGTCCCTGACCAGCAAAGATATAATCATTAATTAATTAATGACAAATATCTGAGCACACCCACCTTCCCAAGTGTCCCCTGGCTCAGCCCCTTCACAGCTGGGAACTGGAGAACTGCAGTTCCCATTGCCAGGCACGTTCTCTGCATTGCTGCCTTTGCAGAAACACCAGCACTGCCCTGACAAATAAAACTGGGTCACCACTGGGGGTTTTCCCCTCTTTCTGGGCCAGACAGAAGGGCTGAAGTCACTGATTATTCCTGTTCACAAAGCTGAGAGCTGACCTGAGCCGCACAGAGGAAGCTGAAATGGAATTTGAACACCGTGCCAAGCACTTCTCATCCCCCTGCACTGTGGTTGTTACTCCTGCTCCTGGGAAAGGAGACACCAGAAATGCACCTAGGTGTGCCTGGGAACGCAAGGCAGCTTCCTCCACTGCCTCCTCCCCTGCCAGTGCCCACCCCGAGCCTCAGAAATTTCTGTTCCCCCAGGACAAAGGTGCACGAGGCTGCTCTGATTTACCCCAAGGACAAACCCAAGGCTAACAAGGAATGCAAGGGAGGAATTACCACCTAGAAAACTTCCCTGCTCTGCAACACACGGCCACAGCTTCTCCTGGCATTCCCAGAAACACCTGTGGTGTTCTGGAGGAACAGCTGGCACAGGACAGCTCCAACCACCTGAGCAGAGGGACACACACTGACCCTCAGTGGTGCTCAGGGGGCTCCAGACCTCTGGGGAGAAATAACAACCTGTGAGATGATCCCAGACTGGTTTGGATGGAAAGGACCTTCAAGATCACCTCACTGCAAGCTCTTCCCCACCAACACACCCCATTCTGCTGCTCTTGCAGCTGAACCTTCCCAAATGTTGAACACACCCTCCTTTCCAAATGAAAGCCACTGTCACCTGCAGCAGGGGAAATTGGGACACTGTGGGACTCCTGCACACTTCCCACAGGGATTTCCCTCAGCATCCAAGACAGGCTGTGTCCCTGTGTGTTCCTCCCTCGCCAGGATCTCCCTCTCCTGCCAATCCAGCTATTCGTGGGGCTCTTTGGAGAACTGACCCAGGAGGAAAAGCAGTGGTTTGGTCCAAGAGCCACCTCCTGGCCTTCAGCCCCCATCCCCTGACCCAGCCAGCATCTTCCCTCCCCTCTTCCCAAAGCACAGAACACTTCCTGGCCTAGCCCAGCTCCGTGCCCCAGCACCTGCCTGCCAGTGGCAAACAAACCCCTCTGGGTCTGATCTGGATCTCCCCATCCTCAGCCCGCCCCTCCTGCGAGCAGCACCTCCCCGTGAGCAGCCTCCACCCTTCCGTGGATGCTTTTCCAGGCAGCTCTGGGGCCGGCCTGGCTCCTCTCCAGCCCGCACAGCGCTGGGGAAACGTTCCTGAGAGCGGCTGCAGGAGGCTCCTCCATCCCTGCATTCCTCCCAGGTCTGCTCAGGGGCCGGGATTTATGGGGTGGGTTAGCCAAAGTACACGCTGTGGGAGAGAGGCTTCCAGGGCTGCCCAGCCCCTCCACAGTGCAAAGGTGTTGATGGGAGAGGAGGAAAACCAGACGGGATCTCCAAGGCTCTAAATGGGGGAAAACTCTGGACTCAGCACATCCATCCACACACTACAGAGCTGATAGTGCAGCCTGCTCTGCCCCCACCCCAACACAAAAGCCAAGAGAAGTGTAAACACCAGAGCCTTCCACTGCTCATCCCCTGATATCCAAAGCCTTTGCATCCCCAGAGCCCCCTCCTGTCCCCGCTATCCCTGTCAGGAACGCACGCAGCTTTAATTTAATTTCCCTCTGAAGTTCTTGATTGCAGAGGGAATGGCTCGTGGCACAGAGCAAGATAAATGAGCTAGAATTTCCTGGGGGTGGGGGGATATCAGCTTTCCAGCACTCCTAGCACTGGGAAAGGGAAGCTGAGGCTCTTTTCCTGAACAAAGAAAACTTCTTCTCTTTCTGTTCCGTCTCAGAGCACTTCTTCTCCCTCATTAACTGGAAATGCAAACTTGGAACACCTGAACTTGCTCAGTGCCCAAGAACAGGCGAGAGAGTGGCATCTCCAACACAGCTCTGGGATCATTGCAGCCTGTCTGGATGTGGATGCAGATGTGCACAGACACAGATTCCTCCCCTTTCCATACAGATACCCTGGAGTGTGGCAGGAGCATCCCCGCAGAACCCCCGAAGGACACGGTCACACCTTGCCCAGGCAAATCAGCTCTGCCCAGCCCCAGCCATTGCTGCCCTCTCCCACGGCCTCGAAAATCACCAAGTGCAGCCATTACCCCGACACGGCCGCGGTCACCACCAAACCACCAACCCAGTGCCACATGCACAGGCTTTCTGAACACCCCCAGGGACCGTGGACTGCCCCGGTGCCCCGGCCGGCCCATCCCAGAGCCGACCCCACCGCTGCCCCCTTCCCACACCCCGCATCCCTCCAGCCCGGCCCGAGCCCCGGCCAAACCCCGCCCCGGGGCCGAGCCCGGTACCTGTCGGGGAAGTGGCTGTCCCTGTGCTGGGGGAGGCCCTGCTTCCTGCGCTGGCTGGACGAGTTGCTGGCCGAGGGGATGTGCGCTTCCATCGCGCCCGGGGTCCGCGC